CAGGGTGCAGTCTAGATAGAAGAGTTACGCCAATCGCATGGTTGGGGAGAAAGTACTGCTCAAGGTTTCACCCATAAAAGGTGTCATGAGGTTCAGGAAGAAGGACAATCTAAGCCCTTGGTATATTGGGCTGTTTGAGGCGCTTCAAAGGATTGGATAGGTGTCTTATAAGCTTGCCTTGCCACCTAGTCTATCGAGTGTTCATCTAGTGTTTCATGTATCTATTCTCCAAAGGTATGTCGGTGATCCATCTCACGTTGTGGATTTCAACACGATTTAGTTGGATGGTGATTTGACTTAAGATATGGAGCTAGTGGCCATTTTGGGTTGGTAAGTTCGAAAGTTGAGGTCAAAGGACAAAGCTTCAGTAAAGGTGCAGTAGAGAGGTCAGCGAGTTGAGGAGGCTACTTGGGAGACTGAGTAGGAGCTGTGGATTAGATATCCATGCCGATTTGGAACTCCAGGTACGTTTCTAAACCTGTTTGAGGACAAATAATTATTTAAGAGGGGGAAGATGTAACGACTCAGCCGGTCATTTTGAGAGTTATATCCATATTCCCCCATTCACTACTCATTTTATGCTTCATATTTGCTATGTGAATTGTCGGGTAGTTGGTTTAGTTTTGGGGATGTTTCGGAATGGGTTGAGACACTTAGTCTTAAGGTTGGAATCTTAAGTTGAAAAGGTTAACCAGATGTTAAACTATGTGTAAACGACTCCGGAATGGAGTTTTGATAGTTCTAACAGATGCGTTGGGTGATTTTGGACTTAGGAGAGTGTCCGGATAGTAATTTGGAGGTTCAAAGTTGAATTGGGATTAAAATGGAAAAAGTTGTAAATTTAAAAGTTTGACCGAGAGGTGACTTTGTGATTATCCGGCTCGGATTGGGGTTCTGGGAATTGGAGTAGGTTTGTTGTTTCATTTTTGACTTTTGTGCAAAATTTGAGGTCAATCGGAAGTGATTTGATAAGGTTTGGCATCGAATGTAGAAGTTAGAAGTTCAAAGGTTCATTAGGCTTGAATCGATCCACGATTCGTAGTTTTAGTGTTGTTAAATGTGATTTGAAAGCTCAGCTACGTTTGTATCATATTTTAGGACTTTTTAGTGTGTTTTGTTGAGGTCCCGAGGGCCTAGGTGGATTTCAGATGGTTAACATGTCAAATTTTGGACTTGGAGATTGGCTGAAGTTTTCTAGTTTCCTCTTACACGATAGCGTGGATAGGTCCGTGATCGTGTATGCTTAATTGGGTAGTGGAGGTCTTTGTTCTAAGCTTTCGCAAGATGGGGATTGCTATCGCATAGTTGTGGGATGCAATGAATCGCGAACACGCGATTAAGGTCACGTTCGGGTAGAGTATAAGAGGCAGTAGTTGGGGTAAGGCATTTGTTCTTTGCGATCGCGTGAAGAGGGCTACAATCATGTAGTTTGAGGAATCAGTTCTTCGCATTCGCATGGGGATTTACACATTCGCGTAGGGTTAAAATTCTTGGCAACTAAGTTGTGTTTCACGATCGCGAGGCAATTTCAGCAATCACGATTAAGGATATCTGTGCAGACTTAAATATTTCAAAAAATGAGGGTTTGAGTTCGTATAGACATTGACTCTCCTACCCTATCTTTCAGTTTATTTATTCAGTATACTTTATAGATAATGTACCGGACTCTGTCATTATGTAGATGCTCACGTACTTAGTGACACCCTAGTTTTGGAAAAACTTATGTATTGATTTATGATTTCCTATCCAGTTTTATGAGATTTTTATTTATTTAAACTGTTTTAATATATTCCAAAATGAAAATGTTTGAAATGTCTGAGTTGTCGTCTTGCCTAGTACCATGATAGGAGTCATCATGACAGTTGGATTTTGGGTCATCACAAAAATACTATTGGTAAAGGAACAACAACAACAACAACTACTATGTAGTATAATCCCACCAAGTGGGGTCTGGGGAGGGTAAGATGTATGCAGCCTTACCCCTACCCTGGAGACTGTTTTCGAATGACCCTCGGCTAAAGAAGGTGAAGGAAGCCCTGATAGCAAGTGATAGCAAGACAAATAGTTAGAAAACTAAATCGAAGATAACAACAAACAATAGCAAGATAGTATCAACAACAACAACAACAACAACAACAACAACAACAACAACAACATACCCAGTAAAATGCCACTAGTGGGGTCTGGGAAGAGTAGAGTGTACGCAGACCTTACCCCTACCCCGAAAAGGGAAGAAAGCTGTTTCCAGGAGACTCTCGACTCAACATGAAAGGCAATAATATCAGAAAAGAAATAAGAGAAAAGATATGTAACAATAAAAGATACCAGAAAGAAAATAACCACAACAAATAAGTGAAAGGATAATAATACAAAACTATGCAAAACACCAATGTGAATACAACAAAGACCGCTAACAAACATAACGAAACTCTAACAGACTACCCGGTACAAAGAGGGAAGAACTCTCGACTACCCCCTAGCCTACCACCCTAATTCTCGGCCTCCACATGTTCCTATCAAGAGCCATGTCCTCAGAAATCTGAAGTCACGCCATGTCCTGCCTGATCACCTTGCCCCAGTACTTTCTAGGCCGCCCTCTACCTCTTCTCGTACTTGCCAAAGTCAACCGCTCACACCTACTAAATGGTGCAACTAGGCTTCTCCTCCACACGTGTCCGAACCATTTAAGTCGTGCTTCCCGCATCATGTCATCCACGGGAATCACGCCCACCCTCTCCTGAATATCTTCATTCTGAATCTTATCCAGCCTAGTGTGCCCACACATACATCTCAACATTCTCATTTCTGCTACTTTCATCTTCTGGATATGTGAATTCTTGATTGGCCAACACTCAGCTCTATATCGTTAACAAGTAATATCTAGATAGTATATTTAGACAGATAAGTCCAAGGAAGCACACGAGAATATGACAAATTCCTGTTAGCAAACTACAGAACTACCAAAGGTAAGTAGTAAGAGAACAAGACATGCGGCTATAGAAAACTAAGGAAAAAAAGGGTACCATACTAGTGATGTGCCGGAGAATTTCGGCACAACTAATATAAATTACTTACATTTTAGCTTGTTTTAAATGCAATAATCTTTTATATTTATGTAATTTTAGTTTTTTTGTAGTGAATGAGGTTTAAGTACCTAAGAGCATGGAAATAAAATAAAAAAGCCACAAAAAGACAAGAAAAGAGCAAAATGCATCACAAATGTGGAAATGCAGACCACAATTCCAACATGTGGGCCGCATAATGCTCAACGAAATCGCAAACCCCAACAGTTTGTTGGCCAAAGTCCAGTGCAAGAAATTCGGTCCAATATGCAATCGCATAACAGGTTTGCGAGCCGCATAATGGACCACAAACTTGTTGTGAAAATTGCTGAAGGTGCAAAATGCGTTGAGAAATGCGATCGCATATTTACAATGCGGACCACAGAATGTGAATGCGATGAAGGTCTAGGAACTAGGGTTTGAAGATGCGATGGCCATAACGAGAATGCAGACCGCATGTCTGTTGTGCGACAGATATGCGGTCACATAATTGACAGAAAAAGGTATTTTTGTCTGATTTTTGTCCCTAGTTTTGACTCACTATAAATAGATTTATTTGGGTTTTGTGGGGGCATCTTGTCTTGTTTTTGAGCTACATTCCAAGTATTTAATATCCCTCTCTTTTGGATACTTTTGAAGGAAGAATCTTGCACTTTGTAAGTTTTATGACATTAAATATTCTCATCTTTTTGTATTTAAGTACGTGTAGCTAACTTTAAATACTAAGGTTGTGGACCCTAAATGGGTATTATGTTAATGGGTATTTAACATTGAATATATGTATAATGGTTGGTTGATATATATTTATTTCTCATTTTTCATTTATTGTTGGTGGTTGCAAATATTAACAAGAGCCATTAAATTCTTTCTTTACTTGGAAAAGTGAGTTAGGATTTGGTAGAAGTAAATATCAAAGACTCAAGGCTTTAAACCTTGTTTAATAGAATCACTTAGGAATAAGTGAGTTTTATTTGGCATATATTGATTGTTCTTAATTGCAACTCTTTTATATTTGACAAAATCATAAAGAGGAAATACTACCCAACTATTGGAAAATATTGGGTAGTCATTTAGAATTCATTTTCATATCTAAAGAACCTTCCATTAGAAATATATCATATTAACACCGATAGCATTACACTTCATTGAAGGGGACACAACCTTGGTTTCCTTAATCAAATTATTTACATTCTCAGCGTTACAATTAGTTATTTCTTCAAATCAAAATCATATCATACTCTTGTTACAACTAACCGAATAGAATTACGACTTAAGTCAAGTAACACACTACTCGAGTAACCTTTTCATGCCTACTCCCTATGGGATTCGACCCCAATCTTGTTGGGTTATTATATTTGAAACCGACCGCTTTACACTATTTAGTTAAAGTGTAATTTTAGCGTATCAACTAGAACTAATACTATCAAACTAAGGAAGACAAAGGGAACCGCCCGACTACCTACTAACCTTCCACCCTAATCTTCCACTTCCACACCCTTCTATCTAGGGTCATGTCCTCGGTCAGCTCAATCTGCGCCATGTCATGCCTGATCACTTCACCCTAATACTTCTTAGGTCTACCTCTACCTCTCCTCTCGCCTCCCAAGGCCAACCTCTCACATCTTCTGACTGGGGCATCTGTGTTTCTCCTCTTAACATGCCCGAACCATCTTAACCTTGCCTCACACATCTTTGCCTCCATAAGGGCCACTCCCACCTTGTCCCGAATAACTTCGTTCCTAATTCTATCCAAAATAGTATTCCCACACATATATCTCAATATCTTCATTTCCGCTACTTCATATGCTGGACATGTGACTTTTTGACAGGCCAACACTCTGCCCCACACAACATAGTCGGTCTGACCACTACCTTGTAGAACTTACCCTTAAGTTTCAATGGCACATTATTATCACAAAAGACACCAGAAGCAAGCCTCTACTTCGTCCATCCTGCATTGATACGGTGAGTAACATCCTCATCTATCTCCTCATTCATCTGAATTATAGATCCTAGATATTTGGAACTCTCTCTCTTGGGAATGACTTGCGTATCGAGTCTCACATCCACGTCCATCTCCTGGGTAACACCACTGAACTTGCACTCTAAGTATTCTGTCTTGGTCCTGCTCAACTTGGAACCTTTAGACTCTAGAGTATGTCTCCAGACCTCTAGCCTTTCGTTAACTCCACCTCGCATCTCAACAATCAGGACTGTGTAATTCGCAAATAACAAGTACCAAGGCAGCTCCCCTTGGATGTGACGCATCAAAGAATCCATCGCCAGGGAAAACAAAAATGGGATGAGTGTTGATCCCTGATGCAACCCCATCTTAAGCGAAAAGTAGTCAGAGTCTCACCGTCCTCACCCGTGTCTTATCCCCATCATACATGTTCTGAATCACTCTAATAAATGCTACAGGAACACCTCCCGCCTCCAAACATTTCCATAGAACCTCTCTCGGTACTTTGTGATAAGCTTTCTCCAGGTCAATTAACATCATATGCAAATCCTTCTTCACCGCCCTATACCGCTCTACCAATCTCCTCACAATGTGAATGGCCTCAATAGTCGACCGTCCCGGCATAAAACCAAACTGGTTCTCATAAATAGACACACACCTCCTCAGTCTCCCTTCAATCACTCTCTCCCAAACTTTTATCATATGGATTAACAACGTGATACCCATATAGTTGTTGTAGTTTTAGACATCCCCCTTGTTCTTTTACAACGGGATTATCGTACTCCGCCTCCACTCTTCCGGTATCTTCTTCGTCCTAAAAATGACGTTAAACAACCTAGCAAGCCATTGCAAACCCTCCTTGCCCACACTCTTCCAGAATTCCACCAGGATCTCGTCCGGCCCAGTCACTCTAACCCCTACTCATCCTGTGTATAGCCTCTTCCACCTCCCCCATTCGTATGCACCTACAATACCCAAAATCTCGTTGATGCTCCGAGTACTCCAAATCCCCCAATGCAATGCCCCTATCTCCCTCCACATTCAAGAGTTTATGGAAGTACGCCTGCCATCTCTACCTGATCTGTTCCCCCTCCAATAAAACTCTTTCCACCTCATGTTTTATGCATCTCACTTGGTCCAGATCCCAGGCCTTCTACTCCCTCACATTAGCTAGCCTGTACAATTTCTTATCCCTGCCTATAACCCCAATTTATTTGTATAAACGACTAAATGCCACGGCCTTAGCTGTCGTAGCCACCAACTTCACCTCTCTTCTAGCTTTCTTGTACCCCTCCCTATTGGCACTCTTTTTCCCCTCGTCTATACTCTCTACTAGCTTCAAATATTCCGTTTTCTTTGCTTCGACTTTTCCTTGCACCTCTTCGTTCCACCGCTAATCCCTTTTATGGCCACTAGAAAAACTCTTCGATACCCCGAACACCTCTCTCGAAGCTCTCTAATACAATTTGCTGTCATTGACCACATACAGCTCGCGTCCCCGCTACTCCTCTAGGGCCCCCAGAGCCAGCAACTTCTCCCCCAACTTTTGGGCCTTGTCCTTAGTCAATGCACACCACCTGACCCTAGGAATACCAAACATAGCCCTCATCTTCCTCATCCACCTGATCTCTAAGTCCATTATCAAAAGTATATGCTGGGTCATAAGGTTCTCACTCGGGATGACCTTACAATCCGTGCATAGACCTCTATCATATTTCCAGAGAAGCAGATAGGCAATCTGGGTCTTGGCCACCGTACTCCGAAAAGTTATTAGGTGCTCCACTTCTTCGGTAAACACGAGTTAGCAATAACTAGCTCAAAAACTTTAGTGTACTCTAGCAGCGCAGTACCTCATCCGTTTCTATCTCCAAAACTGAAGCCACCATGCACACCGGCTTATCGCCTAGGCGACCTCCCTATGTCCCCTATAATAAGCTTCTCGGTGGATGGTATATCCCGCACCAACCCATCCAAATCCTCCTAGAATTGTCTTATAACCTCCTCGTCCAAACCCACCTGAGGCGTGTTTGCACTAACTACGTTCAGAGTATACCTACCCATGACTATCTTAACGGCCATCAACCTGTCTTTTACCCTCTTCACCTCAACCACTAGCTCCTTTAGGTCCTTATCAACTAAAATGCCTACCCCGTTCTTCCCTTTTACCCTCCCTAAATACCATAACTTAAACCCATCAGCCTCTCATGCCTTGTTCCCCACCCATCTAGTCTCCTGGACACAAGCTATGTTAATCTTCCTCTTATGGAGATTCTTTACTAACTCTATTGACTTTCCCATTAGAGTCCCTATATTCCATGACCCCACTCTCAAACGATAGCAGAAAGATGCATATACTAATTAAATTTCTCATGTAGGAAACTTTAGTTAATAAACAGAGCTCATAACTTCATAATAAAAAATACAAAAATATAAAGATACTATCAGAATATTATACATAAGATAAACACACGCACGCACACACACATATATTGGTAAGTTTTTTTATAAAAATAATAAAAGGCTTTATCTTTTTATACTTTTGATGAATTCAGAATTATAATTTAGTAAAAAATTATTATATTATTTAAATTTTCACTAAAATACAAATGAGAAAACTAATCAAATATTACAGTTAAAAAGAATGTACGAAAAGAGGAGGATAAAGATAATTTTATGATATTTATATTTGAATTAACTAAAAAGAAAAGATAAATAAATAACACTCAAAAATATTTATTGATAAATTTAGACTATTGAAGAATTTTTAATAGTATAATATATGTTTTAAAAATTAAAAATATTTTCAGAGTAAAAAAATATATATCTATGTTATATTAAAAGAGAAGTAGTATCAAAATATTAAGCCAACTAATAAGTTAATAAAAAGTGACATTATCAAAATGCATAGTACTAAGTACTTGTTAATTTAATAAAATATAAATAAGGAATAGATAATTTATTTGACTGCTATATGATGTGTATTCGTTGATTTTTTTATAGCTTTGTTATTTCTGCATATTATATTAAATAATAAAGTAACAACTAAGATTTATTAAAATAATTTGATATATCAGATCATAATTTTATAAAATTAATATTCTATCAAATTATGGGCGGGTTCTAACACTATTAGTTTGAAAAGAAAGAACAAGGGAATTGCTCAAAATGATGCAGACAGTAATTAAGATGATAACGATCCAAGAGAGTTTGGTACGAATGATCATCATTGGACCAAATGGGTTTTTGGTTGGAAAGGCAAATATGAAAAGCATGGATCATCCAATCTTTAGATTTAAGGACCACTACTTGTCTATGTTTGACTGTCCAACATATTATGTTCGGTAGTTGATGTGATAGCAGCTTTTGGGTGGACCGTATATATATATTAAAAGAACTTAAATACTTTTTTATACTACATTAGAGTTATTATACGAAATCATAAATTTTAAATCCTGAAGTCGCTTAATTGATACAACAAAAGGAGGGAATAAAATAGTCCATGAGAAAAACAATGTTGACGGGACTCCAAAGAGGTAACAAAAGGATCGAGACTGAAAGACCAACCACATAAACAATTCCTCTTAATACAGAATTCCCCTTCACCCTCCCTTTGAACTCCGATATAACTAAAGCATACAAAAACAATAATACCATGTCTTAACCATAAATAAATTGCTAGAAATTTTGTCTAAATATTTGATTATCAAAAGCTTACCAAACTCTTTGTTTAGGATATCAAAGAATCGGAGGGTTATATTACACATCGGTTGAACATCAGAGGAAGATAATATTTGCATTTTTATGATAGGTGAATGTGATTTAAGAATAGGAGCTATTAGATCCCATACTTTAGTATTAGGATGAGTCGTAGTAATCCATATGAGTTTGAAGTGATTAAGACCACCCATGAGGTTATAAAGGATTTGTGACTATATTATTGTAAGACCTCGTAAGTCTAACAACCTTGATACCGTTATATACGTTTGATATGGTATTTTGGGTGGAACATTTTTGTAAAAAAGTTTGAAAAATATAATTTTACATAGTTATTAATATTACTACATTCGAATATACTTTAAATTTTACACATAATATGAGAAATTTTATGAGATGTTTCTTTATTGTAAAGATAGAAATTATTCTCTCACCAGAAAAGAAGGTTATCTTTTTAACATTTTAAAAATTAAGCGTACGAAAATTTATATTTTTTATATGAGATTAGGAAAATTAGAAATTGAGAAAACATATGTAATTTTACATGGATGTTTTAATAAAATAATAGGGTATGTATTGATTTTATATGGTACTACATGACCATTATAGTAAAATATATAAAGTGTATTAAAAGTGAGTAGCATTTTAAGTAATTTGAGATAATTCTTAGTTATGTGGGTAATTATGAATTTTTAGTGGGGATTAATTAAATAATTAAGATATTTTGGATAAGCTCTTGAACCCCGTACGTCACAGCTTAAGGAGTCTGGGTTAAAGTGACTCTTAATTCATATTTTAAAGTGGCAAAGTTAGGGTGTTTAGTGGCTTAGTCATCCCAAAGAAGTGGGGCCCACAAACCATGATCTTAAAAGCTTTAAAAAGAGCTATGAATCCTTCAATATAATCCTACGATATTAAATGAGTTAGATTGATGGGATTCTCAAATATGATTTCATACGAATCCTTTACAAAGTAAGATAGATTGGCAATGTGATTTTGCTTCAATAAAATTTCATACGAAGTTATACTGTGTAATAGCAGCGTGAAAGGTAAGTCTAAGAGAAAACGGTACAATGTTTCTCAAGAATATCGTACGAATTTTTTCCTACTTTGATCCGCTGTTGCGTGCTTTTACGCAAAAAGATGTGTGTTAGAGGGATTGTCAAGAGAATTGGCTCAGGTATGTTAAGGCTAATCCTTCCTTCTTTTGGCATGATCCAAGCAACGATACATAAACGTGACGTTATTTCATAAGTGGTTCTACTCTTACTAGTTAAGGATGTCTATATTATTCATTCTTGTAAAGTGATATTCAAGCATGTTTAAGTATGTTCCTAAGTCTCTATTGAGATATTTGATAAAGATGTTAATGGTTAATATAGTGATGCATGCATCTTCATGTGTTTACCACTGAGCTATGATCGATTGGACAGTTACACATTTACTATCGAGCTACGGCCGGTCGGGAAGTCATGCATTTACCACTGAGCTATGACTGGTTGGACAGTTATATATTTATCACCGAGCTATGGACGGTTAGGCAGTCATGCATTTACCACCGTGCTATGGCCGGTCGGGCAGTTACCACTGATCAGTTGGGCAGTCATGCATCATACGATATGGATAATAGTCTCAAAGAGAAGCACTATATATGTAAGGATAATAAGTATGCATATACGGTGGCACTTCAAGAATTCAAGATTGGTTCTTATATGTAAGGATAATAAGTATGCATATCGGGGATTTTTATCTATATTTCCTCACTCTTTTGACTATACACTTCAACTCAGTCATGTTATTTTCCATTGTTTTCGTACTCAGCCCTGTTTACTCAATTTTAATACTTAAATGAAATTTTTTAAATGATGTTTGGGCTGAGAAACATTATTTTACTATACCTCGAGTGGCTTGTGAGGATTTTTGACTGAGTGAGGCCGAGGGCCTATGTTGGGAGGAAACATATGATACTGATTATAAGGTCGGGGGCCTGAGATATGTATGCCACGAGGTGG